AGAGGGATGTGGTTTCCTCAACAGCAGGTAGATCTCTGGGTTAGGACAAAGAAAGGTACATATAATTTGGTTTCAATCTAGGGTTGAATGTTGAAGGGAAGAGTTGTGCTGCTAAAGGATAGAGAACACAGGTGTAGGATGGACAGGAATACACAGGTCTAGATGCATTACCTGCAAGAGAAGGAAGACTTACGGTACCAGTTCTCAATCAAGGATGATTTTCACTTGACTACCTAGGGACATTTGCTGACCCCTGGAGTCATTCGTGTTTGTCACAGCTTTTGCAAGAGGGCATGTTATTGGCATCTTGTGGATAGAAGACAGAGTGTAGTAATATCCTACAATACACAGGAAATCACCCTATGACACAGAAATAGCTGGTCCCAAATGCCAATAGTGCCAAGGCTAAAAATCCTTGATCTGAAGCTTGTACATTTGTTCTAATAGAGTTTGTAAATAGGATATCATGTCCGCATCTTGTACAGCAAATAACCACTAGGAAGAATGTATGCGATGTGTTAATTATTGAAACTGTCCTACCAATTTGGTTTGAAACTGTCTCATCGCTATTTGTTTATCAATAAAATTATGGAAAAAAAAACAAGAACAAAAACAAACAAACAAACAAAAAGATTGTACATTCCCGAACAACACTGGGAAAGGAACTGCTTCTCTCAACTGGAAAAGACCTTCAGGAAAATATCCTGATTCAATATTACTCATTCACTGTAGCATCTAGAACAATACTTCCCTCACAGCAAGGAGAAAATGACCAAACAATAGGCATGACATAAATAGAGCTAATAATAATAATGATTTACTGTTTATCAATCAGTAAATCATATTATTGTGCAGTATTCTATGCATTTCTTTTACTCCTTTGTAAGAGTTCCATTTCCAGGCTACAGGTAAAACTTGAGGGTTCTGGGTGAGCTTTCCCAACTATGTGTATTTTCTGCTAAAAGAGAATTTAGCTGTTTCTCTACCAATAATAGCAATAGAATATCAACCTGAAAACGAGTCAACCTTTGTTGATGCTTTTCTGGGTGTCAGGCTAAGTACTATAACCCATTCAATCCTCACAGCTCCCAATAAACTTGTGTATTCCTATGTTTCCAGTTTTCTTTTCTCTCTCTCTCTCTCTCTCTCTCTCTCTCTCTCTCTCTCTCTCTCTCTCTCCCTC